TTATTATGCAATCTTTCCTTTTAGACTTGTTTATAACCCTATAAATAAGGTCTTTTACTTTGTAATAGAAACAAGTTTATTATATACAATTTATAATATTCTTCACATATCACTTGAGGAGTCTTTATCTTCTGAGGACATCCCTTTGAGAATTATCTCCAAACTAGAATCATTTTAACGTTGGTACAGTGCGTGAACTCTTTTGTAGCTGTCATCTATTTTTAACATATGCTGCCTCTGCATTTCTTACTTGCACATGTGGCTGAAATCAATTTGGAAATGCTGAGGATACCTAGCATTGAAGCTTATCATAGCATATGAAAACTCTTGTACTTTTCAAAACTTGGTCAGGAACCATTTTCTTGGCTCGTGGGTTCAGAAGTCGTAGTGGTTGATCCTCCCCGGAAGGGGCTGGATCTGTCTCTGCTGGATACACTGCGGTCTCTGTCATCTGTGGAGCTCAAAGCCAATCTCCCTGAAAGGTGTGGAACTTAGATGGATTCCTCACTTCTAATTCTAAATGTGCAATCTCTAATGGGTGGCAGAAACTAAAAGTGATGTTTGTGTGCTTACCATTCATTGGTTATTCCAGTACCGGTGGGAAGGTGAAAAATGAAAAAAGACCGTGGATTCTTCGAGAAAGAGAAACTTCAGTGCAGGTTAACAGCAGCACAGTACAAGAGGAAAATCGGTCCTTGCCTGAAACTCTAATTTATATAAGTTGCGGATGGGATAGTTTTAAAGAGGTGTGTTTACCCTTACTTCTCATGGTTTAAAGAGCCGCAAATAATAAAGAAAAAGTGTAGTCTTTATTCAGTGGCTTGATTTTTAGCAAGGCAAAATTGTCACTGTCTACTTAAGCTTCTATTGCTGCCATTTAACTTACAGGATTGCATGTCACTGCTCTCTAGTAAGGCCTGGTATTTGGACAAAGCACATGGTTTCAATTTTTTCCCTGGAACAGAAAGGTAATCCTCCCTTTCTCTCTCTCTCGGATTGTATAGATTTGGACAATACTAAAAAAGAAAAAGAAGTTAAAATCTTGTTCATTATAGTGTCCAAGCATGTCCTGTACCAAAGATGCACTTCATGTAACCAATAAGGCACAGGCCTAGCTCAAGTGGCAGGACTGAAGCCTTCCCTAGCCAATGGACTAGGTTTGAACCTCCTTTTTGGGGGTGAAATCCTTTATTCCCCTTTTAAACAGAGAAAAAAAAAAGGGAACTAATAGAAGATTTGAACCTTCCCATCTCCCATGCCTCCAAGAACTTATCCCTTAATTTTAGAAGTTGCCTTGTTTGTTGTACTTTTGAGTCAACCCAACCCAGATGGCAAGAAGAGGGTCAGCCAAACTGCAATCCACTTTGTACATTTGCTGAGGGGACCAATCAATCATTCTAAAATAGGGAAGGGAGCATTGACCACTGAGCATGTATAATTATTCAGTTTATTGTGGGATTGGGGCACCTTGAGGCCCTGGTTAATTGCTTCGCCTTTGGGTGGCCATGAAGTGAAAGATCCTTTCTCTGGGTTATCTTACCATGAGGAGTTTTGTTTTTGGAAATACGCTATATTCACATGTTTGTGTTGCAGCAGCTAATGACTCTTTTCTTTTGTTCATTGGACTTGTTGTTTGGTTGCTAATTTACCAATCAAATGTGCTATTATAAATGCAGTATTGAGGTCCTGGCCGTGTTTAAAAGAGGCTCTAAACCAAACATCAAGAGAAGGAAATCTGGAAAAAAGAAAAGACCCTCTTGAGGATCACTTTTTCACCCTTGAGAGTATTACAAGGGACAAAATGCTTCTCATGAAAAGCCTAAATAGATGGTATGAAGAAAATGCGCAACGAAAAGGGTGAATATCTATTCAGTAACATTTGAATAGAAGTTCCAGATTACTGTCTACACCGTGTCTATGGAAAAATATTTTTCATTTAGACTGCTGGGTCTAACGAAATATATATATGATAAACTGTATATGTTTCAGATAATATTTCGTAATGATGAACATTTTTTGCGGCCATGGTTCCTTTTATCCTTGTGAAATTTGGAGAAAGAGTGGGTAACTGTAAAGTAGAAAAATCTACAAATGGATTTTGATGTTTTCAGAGTTGAGGAATGGGTAACTGTAAAGTTGAAAAATCTACGACAGGATTTTGATGTTTTCAGAGTTGAGGTTTGAAACCTCAACTGCCACCTCTATCTCTAAAATTTTGACGTCTCAAAATTGTAGTGAACTGTCGAGATTTTATTTGGGAGGACAACAAAAATGGTGCAGTGTATTTGACCTCCATTGTAATAGCCCTTTGGACCGCTGAATTGCTTCAAGTTTCCTGCTCGTCCAGTCAGAGGGACAGGAAGATCGATGATATATTCTATTTGTATTATGATTAGTTTTCTTCTCCTTTATATATACTAGTGATGTGCCCGTGCATGCACGTATTGCCTTTTTTTTTTTTTCAAAGGTAATGTTAGTGGATTGAATATTAATGATTGATGAGATATGTGCAAATGACTTTTAGGAAGTAAATGAAGTATTTTATTTATAGCAGCTTTGGTCAAAGAAAATATAGTCTAAATACAAACCCTATCTCAAGCTAGATGAATAACCTTATTTTAAGTTCATAGTTTTTAATAATAACTATTAAAGGATGTATCAATCTTAAGAGGATTTCCTTCTATAAGGCGTGCATCAATTGGAATAATATGTTTGAGTTTGATACTATGTTCCCAGGAACCAACATTGAGGCTTCTTCCCTATTCCATTTCCCAATTCGCAGAACATGGAGTTAGGAACAGATTGAAGGTCAAAGATTGATAGAGAATATGATGCTAAGGTAAATACATGGTGCAGATTGGAAGTTGGAAGCTATTTCAGAAGAGCAAACCTTGGCTTTTGGAGCCAATCGAGTCATGAGGGCAGTTGCTGCATTTCCCACATTATTTTCTTCAGTAAAACTGATAAGGAGCGAGACAATGATGCCAACAAAGTCGAAAAAGTCCGACGGCTTGTGCTATAGAAAATAGGTTTATGAACAAGAATTTATTACAGTATTTGATTCTTAACAATAATGAACTTTTATCTATTTCTAAGTTTATAATTCTACAAAGTTAGACAATCTAACTTGAGATCCTTGCTTCGATATTTCACTAATGGTGATGTAGGAGGTGAGACAAAAGTTAAAATGATCCTTACTCCTTCATTTGCAAGAACAATGGCCATTAAAACAGCTGCTTCCATCACCAATGATAGTGAATATCTGTTCGCCATCTAGAATAGAAACATGCATGTATAATATATTTCATTTCAATAAATTCGACCGTGAATAGACAAATTAATATGATATGTCTTTAACATAAAAGTCACAACATAAGATAAGAAACACGGTGTGACTATGTCTTACTTGAGGTTCAACAATGATGGATAAAGTCTTAATTCCTTGAAGTATTCGAAGTTCACTGCGCTTCTTTTTCACATCAGCACATAAATTGGATATCTTGCTTGCCAGAGTGAAGTTTTTTTATCTGCACATAAATGAAACATGATTGATAATTCAATATTAGATTATTAAAAGGAGCAAATCCTTTATCTATGGACACAGTTATACATATAATTATGCCACCTATTCTTGAAGTGACTCTGTAACCACAAGTAGATATTAGAACTCCATTATGTGAAAGTGGCCTATGCATTTGATTTTACAATAAATTCTAGATCTATCAGTTTTATTGTTACCTTTAAAATGTTGCCTGGAATATGAAGAACGTGGGCAATTTTTCCTCCGTAACGACTCGTTATTTCTATGGTTGCCTTGTCACTTTAAACTTCACATAGAGGTTGAAATTCTTTGACTTGGTCCCCCTGCCAAGTGATTTCATTGTTG